ACCCTCTTCCTTCAGGCCATCAGCCTATTTCATAGTTCTGGTCTTCACGGAATCCTAAATTCCTGAGGTTATAAAAAGGGCCACAGAATCTCTGCTCTCCACACCTCTCCCTCAGCTTCTTGGCCCAAGTGTTCATACAGAGCTGCCAGCAGTAGTCTGTGTGGTGAACATCTGTTGGCAGCTTCCCAGCAACCATTTCTCCTCTCTCCTGCCACCAGCACCCAGACTCTGCTCCTCCATTATTGACTGTGGTTTGCTGTAATGTTTAACAAGACTATATAGAAGCTTCTGGAATAATGGCATAGAGCACAACCAATGGTTACCTCCATTGGTGGCTGTGCTCAGAGCATCTGGATCTAGGGGTGGTCTCAGAAAGGGGCTTTTGAGCATGTTCCCATTTTCCAACTCCTCCTCATGGTCCCCAGAGATGGAAGAGCCCCTCTCCCAGTCTAATGTCAGCCACATTCTATTCTCTAGTTGGTGAACAGCGGAAGGCCCATGGTATTCAAGAATACTGGCTCCCAACTACAGGAGGGCTTTTGTTCCTCTAAGTCCAGGCTATTTTGTGTATAGCCTTCTGGCCTGAGCCCAAGGTGTTATTAGGTGCTGTTGAATTGGCTCCAACTCCTAACAACCCTATGCACAATAGAATGAAACACTACCTGATCCTGCACCATCCACACAATCATTGCTACATTTGAGTCTATTGTTGCTACTACTGTGTCAATCTATCTGAGGGTCTTCCTCTTTTTGATGACTGTGAGAAATAACACTTGTTGTTGTGGTCCATCTTCAGGACTAAGGGGAGTCTTGGGGGTAGCAGCCTAGTATAACAATAGTTGCTCAGTGAAAGGGAAGAACTACTTTGACCCGCTTGGAGCTTTAGAATAAGAATGCACTCATCAAGGAAAAAGGGGTAGTTCATGGGGAAAGGGGGAAACTAACTTTAAATGAGAATGCCCCAGTAAGGACTAGTAGGTGACCTTGGGAAGAGATTGTAAACTCCATAATGCCCAGTAAAACGGGAATTGAAGAAGGGTTTTTTTCAAGACAGGGGAATAAAACTGTTTGTAGGCTGGTCATGCAGCCGCCTCGGCCCTTGTCTACTGGGTTGGGTGCCTGATTTTGCAAAATCAAATAAAGAAAATCTCTCACTAAAATGAGTACAGATTGGATTACTTGAGCGTTTGTTGGTATGGTTAGTGTTTCTCACAATGACCCTCCACTTTTCCAAGCATGATTTCCTTATTCATATGAGAGACAAAGTCTTGCCATCCTTGCTTCTAAGGAGCATTTTGACTGTATTTCTTTCAACACTGATTTGTTTGTTATTTTTGGCAATCCATGGTACTTTCAGTATTTTTTGTCAACACCATAATTCAAATGAATCCATTCTTCTACTCAGTCTTCCTTATTCATTGCCCAATTTTCACATGCATGTGAGGCCACTGAAAATATTATGGCTTGGGTCAGACACACCTTAGTCTTCAAACTGACCTCTTTTAAAGAGGTCTTTGGCAGCAAATCTACCTCATGCAATACATAGTCGCTTGATTTCTTGACTGCTGCTTCCATGAGTGCTGATTGTGGATTGAAGTCAAATGAAGTGTTTGACAACTTCAATCTTATCTTCGTTTATTTATTGGTCCAGTTACATTGAGGTGCAATCCATACTGAAGGCTGCAGTCTTTGATCTTCATCAGTAAGTATTTTAAGTCCTTTTTGCTTTCAGGAAGCAAGGTTATATCATCTGCATATCACAGGTTGTTAATAAGTCTTTTTTTTAATCCTGATGCCACATTCGTCTTCAGATATGTCATCTTTTTTTGATTATTTTCTCAGCATACTGACTGAGTAAATATGGTGAAAGGATATGATCTTGGTGCACACCTTTCCTGATTTTAAACCATTCAGTATCCCCTTATTCTTTCTGTTCAGATGTTGCTGTTGTTGTTAAGTGCTGTTGAGTCAGTTCTGACCTATAGTGACTCTGTTCATGTAGGGCTCCTGAAATCCAATCCAGGTTGGACCAACACAAGTTCAAATACACTTCTTCAAGTTTCTCCCAAGGTCAGGACAGTTGCAACCAGTCTGCTTAGCAGCTGGACTGCTGCAGGTTTTGCTGCATCACAGCTCTGTGTCATCTGTTCAATTACTCAGTAACCTCATAAGAGAGTCAAATCTGGGATACGATGCTTCTTTTAAAATGATCAAATTGTAGCAGAAAAAAACAAAACAAAACATTTTTTCCTCCAAAGAAGCAACACTTTTAGAAGACAGACTTAGTTTCTGGCTTCACACAATCCATGTTAAGTTTCTGAAACACTTGCCTAGGGGCTATTTCTCAGCTTTAGATCTCCCTCCCTAAGAAGAAAAGTTCTGGTGTGGTGCTGTAGGATAAATACTGGATTGCTAATCACAAGGGCATCAGTTCAAACTCCCTAGCCATTCCTTGGACATCTTATAGGGGTCACTATGAGGTAGAACTAACTAGACGGTACTTTAACAACAAGAAGAGGAAGGCACCTGGGTGGCTCAGTGGTTAAGAGATCAACTGCTAACTGAAAGATGGGCAGTTCAAATCCACCAGCCGCTGTGTGTGAGAAAGATATGGCAGTTTGTTTCAATAAAGATTTACAACTCTGGAAATCCTTTGGGGCAGTCAGAAATAATCAACTTGAGGCAGATTTTAAGAAGGAGAGGTAGGCACTTGTTGACAACTGCAAAACTCAACTACCTATACAAGGGGGCTTCAAAAAGTTTGTAGGAAAATGGAATTAAAAGATAGTGTAAATTTTCCATGAATTTTTCCCCCATGTTTTATTGTAAATTATATGATATTTTACATGGGAGAACTTTAGTTTTACATTAATTCCACTGTACATCGTTTAATTGCCATGGTTCCAATCCCCTCCATGCATCATCAGTCGACCAAAGAGTATACCCTATAAACCC